ATGGGCAAAGTCAAGAAGAGTGGACTACGAGTCGCTCCCAAAGCCTACAGGCCACACTATTGCTAAATACCCAGTTGCTTCCTCGGCATGAGCAAAATCAGCAAAAGTGAACTACGAGCCGCTCCCAATTTTACTTTGTTAAGTAAAATTGAAGAAGAAGGAACTACATTTTCAATTGGGATATATATTTTTTATTTTTAATACTTTTTAAACAAAATTTTTAATTTATTATTTTTATGTAGGATGCAAATGGATTTTTATTTATATTAGTATTTTATTTTATTAGTATCATAGTATCATATAATAGGTAATCAACTAGTATCATAGAATAGGTAATCAATTTGGTGGGTATTTTATCAGAATTTGATTGGTCAAAACCCTCCTTGTATCTTATATTTCCGGTAGCATAATTTTTCCTACATTTTTATTAGCCATTATTATTTTTAAATAGAATTTAAATTAATAAGAATAAGCTTTAAAATAAATACATTTTTGATAATTTTAACTGTTGTTATTATTTTCATTAATAATATTATATTTATTAATGCATTATTAAATTTAAGMAAGGAGAGCTTTATACTGACATAGACCATATACATGGTTACTGGTTAGGTCTCATGCTGCAACATGTTTTAACTCTTCATTTCAAACTAAAAGATTCCAACGGTTCTCTCATAAGGCAAAATTTGTCCAGCTGGCACGATATCACGACGTATMTAGTAATTGACGTACAATCCTTCCCATTAATAAAATCAAGACTGGGAGATTGTCAATATGAAAAAATAAAAAGGAGCGTAGAAACTCATCTCACGAGGGTATCCAAAATAACTTTTTTTTTTCAAGTCTTGTAAAGCAGGGGAACAATCAAGATTATTACGTCGGGCTGTTCCATTTTTAGTAGGATGAAATACAAAAACCTCTCTTCCTCGCAACTTACAGCGGCAGAATGGCGGTGCACTTCCCACTTCAGACAAATCACATTTTCCAATACCCAGACCATCAAATTGGCACCGGAGATCCTCCAATACACCATCTCGCTCTGCAACACAGATCGATGGTGGACACGGACGGACCAGTTTGCGTGATATCCACGCCTTCCGAGCTTAAGTTTCTCGGCTGCTTTGTTTTGGTCGAGGGCAGAAGGGGAAGAAATTCGCTCTGGATTTTCGGATTTCAATGAAGTCCGTAGATGATGGAAGCAATGGCTGGCCGGAAGTCATAAATAATCCTCCAGGAAACTCTAAAACCTCTACAGACCATAACCAGAAATTAGTGGTCCAGAGCGAATTTCTTCCCCTTCTATCCTCGACCAAAACAAATCAGCCGGAGGAACTTGAGCTCGGAAGGCATATTGTTTTCTTCAAACATGTTACCTCCTATCGCGGGCCCTTGGCCATAGAAGTTCTCCTCCAGTTGAACTTTGGGTTGCGGCTCAGAATTCTGACCATCCATGGCAGCAACATTTCCAGGATTAGAGCACTTATTCCTCTGAAGATTACTATCATAAAATTACATATGCTTGCTGATAGTCTTTTGTCCATCTTCTGGCAGCCCAAGTCCTGAGAGGCTGAAAGTCGATTGGGTTGGGTTCAGTGGTGGAGCAGCTGGCTTGGGTTGTTCGAATGGCAGAGAGAGAACTACTGGTTTATCTTCAGTAATCTCAAAGTTTGAGATTCCAAACCCTGTACGGACGTTTTCATAGGGGCTATTTGTGATCCGTCGTTGCCATGGGTTCTCATCAGTTGGCTTCCTCTTCCTGTTGAATTCTGTGCTGCTAATTTCACCCTTTATTGGAGCAGGCAGGGGAACCATAAGTTTGTCCTTGGCTGACCCCGTCCCCAGATTGAACAGATTTACATCGTGAGGCAGGGCCATTGCGATCAAACCTGACTTTCTCCTTCCACTAGGCGTGAAGATTGTCGGAGGCTCCGCTCACAGGCTTCCCCTTCTCAGGAATGATGCCATAAACGAAGCCTTGAGCTTTATAGACTTCCATCATCTTCAGCATGCAGGACCCCATCTTGAGCACGCGACATCTTCTTTCTCCGCACCTGCTCTTGGGACTGGCGCTGCTTTGCAGTATCGACACCATCCTTACTCTTGTTCCGTTCTTTAAGCTTCCTCAAAAGCATCTGGTCCCTCCACATCCTTCTCTCCAGCTCGTCTACATCCATCTCTTCGTCAGTATAATCTTCCTCCACATTGGCCTCCGATTCAATTTCCGGCACCGGATCTCCTTCTATTGTTATTGACGGGGCAAGGAAATCGAGATTCCCACAAAACCCCATTTCTTCAAACATCCCCATCATCACTGTTGCGCACCCACAATCAACTCCAGGAAACAAGCCAACTTCTCCGGCTGCCCTTCCGTCCCTCTTTTTTCTCGGAAATTAGTGGAATTGTACAGCTTTCTGTTCAAGGAGAACTAAATTCAAGTCGAGAATAAATTGTGATCTCCATCCTGAAAATAAAAACGAACAGATTCGTAAACAAAAAAAACAGAAAAGATCCCACCTTTTCCAAACCAAAAAAATAAGAAATGGTCACAAAGAGAATCATCTAAGGAATTCATCTGAAAAACGAAATTTGTAAAAGGGTAAAAATAGGGGGTATTTGTTAAATTTTTAAAAATTAGAAGGGAGAGTTTTGCTAAAGTAAAATTATCGGGGAGGTTTTTGTATTTTACCTTTTTTAGCAATCGAAAATGACGATTGCGAAAAAAGCTATAAAAAATATGGAGATGCAGGGGATCGAACCCTGTACCTCTCGCATGCAAAGCGAGCGCTCTACCATTTGAGCTACATCCCCAATTCCTTTATTTTTTGTGTTATTTATTACTGTATTACGTAAAAACTTTAATGAAAATGAAACAATCGTATCATCAAATATTACAAAAACGTGGAGATGCAGGGGATCGAACMCTGTACCTCTCGCATGCAAAGCGAGCGCTCTACCATTTGAGCTACATCCCCAATTCATTTACTTTTTTGTATTACTTACTATTGTAAGGTATAATCTACGTAAAAACTTCAATGGGACAATTGTATAATCAAATATCATTAAAACATGTTATAGGGCAACCTCTTTAATTTAGGGGGCGTTCTTTTTTGAGATTTTGAGAAGGGGAAAGTTGGTCAATGGGATTTTGGTTCYCATTGACCAAGAATCCCATGTTTTTTTTTTTGAGATTTATGTGGAGAATAGGACAAGCTTATTTTCCTATGTATCACTTAGCCATAGGTGGATAAATAACGTTTCCACTTACAGGGAAAATTGATAACACTTGAATGGGATAAAAATGCCTCTTTTAATAATAAAGTTTTATGGCTAAATTAATTATTGCATTATTTACTTGGAAAATAAAAGAACATTGGTAAATGCACTTACTCGGATAAATGTTTCTCAGCAAAAAATTACTCAGATATTTGTATTTTCCTGAATAAATAATTTACCGAAAAGCGAACGAGACCTTAGTGTAATGTAGCGAATTYAAAAACTATGTAAAATTTGAAAATTTCTTTTATAACTTCAGTACGATAAGCGGATAAACCGATACAGTTATCATAGACAAATCTCTCATTCTCTATCTATGTCTCGTTATAAAGCATAGATAGATCTCTACTTCGTCTTTCACACAAACAAGTGTTAAAAAATTGCCAGGTGGAGATACAACAACATTCAATTAGGGCGTCAACGCCTTGAGCTCGGGTTGGATAAACGGGCCGGATAATAGAGGGAGTCCAATTTGAAATGGGCCTGCAAAAGAACTAATAGAAGCCCCTCCCCCTCTACATACAGGTAGGGCCAGGTTTAGGGATGTCAGTTTTGCGAGAAATTAAGTATGCACACCCTATGTCAACCCTAATCCTTTGCTAAATGGGGCATGGACGAGCCTTATACGATTAGGAAATAGAATCTTTCGGCCCCCTTACGTTGAGGAAATAGAATCTTTGCATGCGGTGCTAGAGGAATTCGTGTGAGAGAGTTCGAGAACCTGTATCGTGTGAGAGGAATTCGCGTGAGAGAATTCGAGAATAGTCTGATGGACAAAGGCTAAGCACAACACTGAATAATCTGATGGACAATAGTCCAATGAACAAAGGCTAAGTACAACACTCAATATGAATAGTTTGATTGACAATAGGCCGATGATAGCCCGATGGACGGTGGACAAAGGCTCATAATCTACGCTTTAGATAAGCTTTAGGCTGAACCCATCTTCTCTCTCTAGGCTGAACCCATCAATCCTAGGGTCTAGGGTGTAGGCTCTAGGCTCAACTAATCAAAGGCTTTAGGCTGAACCCATCTTCTCTCTCTCTCTCTCTCCGTATGAAGCTCTTTTGTATTTTGCTTCATATTGCTGCTCTGGTTCTCTCTGTGTTGTTCTTCGGTTGATCAGAGTTTTTTGTATTTTTTAAGTTGCCGGTGTTGTTCTTCGTTCAAGGAGGGCGTTCTTTTTTGCCAGTTTTTTTCTGCGTTGGTGCATTCAACATGGCATTTTTTCTTTTGTTTTGTTCCAGTCTCGATTGCGTTGTGGTTGCTAATATTTTTTCTCCTATTCGAGGGTGTCTACTGATGCTGGYTGGTGGTGAGTTTGGTGGCTACTCTACTTCGGTGTTTTTCCATCTCGGCTGTGACAACGGTGTAGGTTTCCTGTTCTACTTTCACATGGCATTTTAAGTACTTTCTCTGCACGAAGGTACCCTCCTCACATCACTTTTCATTATTATTTTTGCCAAGTCTGATTTTACATTCCAAACACAGGATTATGCTGGTACACACCCACATGTTTATTAATTGTCATTGCAAATGCCAAATTTACGGGAAATTACCTCCTTTTCAATTGGAAAGAGAGTGATGCTGATGATGGCGACATTATAATCCTAGAAATGAAAACTATTAGTCGTGTTGCATTGCATAAACCATTTGATTGATTTAAGTTTGTTAGTAGCATAATTGGAATTGTAGGCAATGAGATGGCAACCCAGGAACTCCAAATACTAAGGTGGATATAAGCTTTGGTAATTGTGGGGCATGTCTCCTAAATGGCTATTAGTATCAGCACTTAAGTACGTTTGAATATCCCCAGGGAAAAGAGAAATAATGCGTGCATTTATATCATCAACTTCATCATTTGTCGGTGCCAATATTGCTCGTTCACATAAATACGACTGATTCCCAATCATTTCAACTATGTTTGGGAATATTCTTTCAACTAATGGCCGAACACCACGACCCTCATCAGCCACCAAGAGATCAGGAGGGAACGGCACCCAGTTTGCTTCTCCAAACTCATCAATTTGAACTCCAGTTATATTTCCATTTCCAACATCTAAGACCCAATTTGCAAATGATGAAACTTCACCGACAAATGATGACTTGTGCATTCGGTATCATGCATGAGGCGCATATTCATAGTCAATTCTAGAAGTTCACATTGGGACCATAAATGTGATCTTTGCAATGATGCAGAAATGACATCTTCACGAGATCCCTTAAGAATAATCACTGGCAAAATTTGCCGAAAATCGCCACCTAGAACAACTGTTTTACCATCAAATGGCTTGTTACTTGCATCTAAAGTAGAGCTTTTCATCAAATCTTTCACTGTACGATCGAAGGCCTCAAATGCATGTTGATGAACTATTACAAGTACAATCTTGCCAGTGGATCTTAACTTTGAAGTTAGTGTCCTCCAGAGGAATGTTTTTCCTGTTACACGGCTTCCATGAACAAACCTAAAATTCATGTTGCCAGATTCTTGACGTGCCTTGTATTGCGATAAGTGGGTCCAATGCTTTCGCCATAAATCATGAGCGTTTGCAACCTCATTGAATAATAATATGGATGCAAAAATATCATGCATTTGCTGGCCTGTTGCCCAAATAGATGCTTCCATCAATGCATGATTCCATTCGTTATCATCTTCAAGTAATCCCAATGCCATGCATGCAGCTTTGTATATATCATAGCGAGTGCCATTGGTTGTCTTAAGATCATAGAAACTCCTAGCACCACGTATTACATATAGCAACATGCGAAGAAAGTATCGTTCACCAGAACTTGGATGCGCATAGTATAACCTGCCAATTGTTGTACCCTTGCCGAATAGAACTCCTCCAATTTGTGCCCACCAAAAGGATGTTTATGTTTTGGCCTTGTACAAATGTGATTGAGTTGAGTCTTGAGACATTATGTTATGTGATCCGAATATTTTAATTCCACCTGATCAATTCATAGCCTTGGATGAGAAGTGATACATCGGAATATTGGAACAATTTCATTATGGAAGGAGACTGCCAAATTGTAACAGATTGGGTTGCAGCAAGGTAAAGAGGCTTTGGTTCCCTTAGACTCCTAAACGGAGAAGTGAGTTTGTCATCCAACATAAACCACTCATTCATGTGGTCACCCAGATCAACAAATGTCTGGCTTTTTAGCAAGGGATGAGATAACAAGAAATATGGGGACTATTGTATAACTTGGTCCAACTTCTTTTGAGGCTGTAAGCGTTAGCCCTTGGGCTATTTTTTCATATGGTCTCCTTTGTTTTAAACATTTGAGATGGTTGGGGTTTCTCTCACTTATATCAGTAAAATTATGATTTCATGTTGCTGATCAGGAATATGAAAGATATACAAGATTCTAAAATTGGGGGCATTGGGTAAAGAAGATAAATACTTCAGGGTCAAGAGAAATGGAATGAATAAGAATTGGGCGGATGGTGCCGTTATTAGCAATTTCCAGGTAAAGAAGAAAAATACTTGATAGTAGAGGTTGCATATCACATAAATGGAGAAAAATTGATATTTTCAGGTGATAGAAATGAAGAAAAATTCTTGAATTTTATTTTATGTTTTATATTTTCTGATTTTTTAAATAACTTACAACTTATGTCTTTATAATTTAGAAATCATGTTTATTTGATATATTTGTCATATTTTTTATCAAGTAATGAATTTATAGGTCATTGGTTTAGGTTGGAAAGAAAATTTTGGATTTTATTTATATTTTATATTTTCCATTTCCTAAATTTATGTCTATTCCATATACTTGTCATATATATATATATATATATATATATATTCAAATAACAAATTTACAGGCCATTAGTTTAGGTTGAAATATTCTTTTTATTGAATAAGAAAAAGTTGGCATATATTTAATAGAACAAAATATTAAATAAAAAGTAAAATATTAATCTTAACAACAAAATGTAAAATAAGAAATGAAAAAAAAACTTGATATTTTCAAGTGATGAAATGAACAAAAACTTTTGGATTGTATTTATGTTTTACATTTTTTGCTTTTTTTTTTAAATAAATTACAGCTTATGTCTTTGGATTGAATTTTGTATGCTGAAATATTTGAATTCTGGATGGTTTGTTTTTGTTCTTAATCGACAGATGTGTCTATGGACCACTATCTTCATGGTATTTTTTTAGTCTTATTTCTTTTATTTCTATGGACCTAATTATCTTGGCAGTATGTTTAATTCTTAAATTCAATAAAATGCAAACTCAGAATGAACCCTATATTTGGAACTCAAAATGCAAACCTCAACCATGTGTAAAAACTTATTGCTTTGTCGTTTAGTAAAATAAGATTTTTAGAAGGTTTGGGGCTCCTTAATGGCTGAAGCTGAAGTTGGGTAGCTAATAATCTTTAACGTTTTCCTATTTAATTATTTTACATATTTGACCAACACTATCCTTACTGTTTCCAACAATTAATTAACTCTACCCTTATCATTAATATTTTCTCAAAATTTATTCGCACATGATGTATATATTTTTTAAAACCCAATTTTACCCTCCACCTCCCTTCTCCTCTTTCTCTCTCCCCTTCTTTTTCCTGTTCGATTCAGTCCTCTCCCTCCCTCTTTATCTACTGTTCGCCGCTCTGATTAGACCGCCACCGGCAGCCTCTTTCCTCTCGCCATCAGAACCTTGTTGTAGGGCGGTGGTAATCCTAAGTTCAGAACACTTCTAGTGTTCAGCCGCAGACTATTTGGGAAGGAGATTGGTCGAGAATTTGTGGGAATCCCAAAAAATGAAGCTATTGTGGGCTTTGCTCTAGAAAACAATTGAGTCGGTTGCCAGGTCCTTGACCATATCATAGGTCTTCTTCACGAACAAAGGAGGACCTGCGTCATGCAAACCCTCCATGGGTTGCAGCGACATCATCTTCAGCGACAAGACTGATGAGGATTTTTGAAAAAACGATGACGAAGACAAGACCCCGCATCATCCTCAACGGCAAGACCAATAAGGTAAGACCCCCCCCTTTGCGTTCCTCTTCAAGCTGGATGATGAAAATTTTTGAGAAATCTTTTCTTTTTTGAGAATCTGAGATTTCCAAAAGCCCCAGATCAACAAATCTGAGATTTCCAAAAGCCCCAGATCAACAAATCTGAGATTTCCATCTTTGTGTTTTCCGGCAATCTGAATCGCCTTAAAAACTTGCCGCTGTCCTCTCCACCCGGTGCTATTTGTCGTTTTCTTCATGCTCCCTGCTCCTCTCTCCACTAATCTGCAGAAATGCTGGACTTAACATGCTCCCTGCTTTGTCGTTCGCCGAAGATGCTAGGAATGAGCGACATTCTTCTTTGGTGGTGTTGTCTTTAGCTTAGAAATGCTGGACTTAACAGAAACTTGGGTGCTGATTACAGAATATGAAACCAAGATTGGAATACTGATGAGAAGGCTTTTGAGATTGGTAATCGACGATGAATTTAGTAGAGAATGTATTCCAGATTTATAGGCATGGAGAAGGTAGGTCTCGAATGCTCCATTTCTTTCTCACCATTTCTAGATATCCGATCGATCTATAATCTTTTAGCCCCAAAGAAAAGCCCAATAGAAGTTACCAAATTCCGAAGAAGAAAAGGAGCCAAAGCAGTGGCTGAGCTCTTCTCCCTCCGCCGATATCATTTCTGAACTACATTATTTAGTAGATTTTTATCTGTGTAAATATGTATTAGACCGCCACTGGCAGACCCTTTCCTCTCGCCGTAAGAAGCGGCAACGGTGTTCATAAGCTCAGAACACTTCTAGTGTTTAGCCGCAGAAACCCAGAAACCCTTCCTGCCAAGTCTCTAAAGTCTCCAAGCGATGTTATTCTTTTCCCCTTTTCTTGTTTTATTTTGAAAATTTGAAAAAGAATAGAGGGTAAAATCGTCTTTTTAATCTTTTGGTTAACGGGCGCAAACGGTACAGAAACAGTGAGGGGAGTGTTAATTAAGAGTACAGTTAGTCAATTAACTTTTAAGAAATTTATCCTTTACCTTTTTGAACTCTTTTAACAATAGACACTAAGCATCTATATTCAACACATTTAATTTACATTATCACTTCTTTTGCTTTATTATTATTTTTGCAAGGTCTAATTTCATGTTTGACAATCATTTTTCTTTAAAATTAAATATAACCTCCAAAATTGCACTTTTCCTTATCACTAGTTATATTTGATGTGGATACCCACTCTTCTTACCTAATTATGGATGCGTAAATACATCATTATTATTTTTGAAGCCATATATTATTAAATATCTCTTCTACATTATAGTAAAAAGGAGTTTTGCTATGCACATGAGGTGTTAAACTGTATGTTCTTTTAAATGATTTTTGATATTATTGGTCCTGCCATGTCAGCATGTCTCTCTTTTGATAGAAGATATTTATCTATTTTTTCATTTTTTTGAATTTTTTATTTTTTTAATTCTATGTCATTTTTGAAACAATCAATGAGAAACACTTTCTCAGTAACCTAAATAATTTTTTCTCCTAAAATTACTCCTAAATTATAAAATAACACTAAAATATTTATTAAAATCACAAAAAATAATTTTATTTTTTTACAAAATATATCACGAAATTATGTAATAAAAATTTAAATTATGTTTTTTTAAATTATCAATTTAAATGTTTTTTAAATATTTAATAATATGTAATAGCTTTAAATAAAATTCAAATAACAAAAAAGTTTAAATATTTTATAGATTATTTAAATAACTAAATTTTTATCATAACTAGATTTTGAATAGTTAAAAAACGAAATTATGTAATAAATTTAAAAAATTTCTTTAAAGTAGAAAAATAATTATAACATAATAGTTAAATTAATAATAATTTAATATATTACAAATTTAATAATGAAATTATGTAATCATAGTATAAATTATGATTTTATGGATAATTAAATTCAATAAACAATTAATATTTTAAAATTTAAATATTTTACATATGATTTAAGTATTTAAATAACTAAATATTTTAAATAACAAAATATTTAACATAACTAGATTTTTAATGGTTAAAATAAATAAATTATGTAATAAATTTAAAAAAAATCTAAAAGTAGAAAAATAAATATAACATAATATTAAAATTAATAATAATTTAATATTTTTACATAATATTGTAAATAATTAATTTCACTTATATCAAGTAATAATTTGAGAAAATAACTTTCAAAAAAATAATATTTATTAATAATAATTTTAAACTCTTAATCTATATTTGTTATATAATTATATATACTAAAATTAATATTTATTGTCTTTTGTGAAAAATGTATTTTCAGTAAGTATGTATAAATTTATTTTGTTTAGTCATTTAATAGAAAATTTTCAATAATTATTGGAGACTAGATTACTATTGTTGAAAATTTTAAATTTAATTTATTATACTTATTGTATTTATGTTATAAGTTATTGATTAATATTTAGTAGAGATTAAACTATTATTTGAGATTATACCATTTATTAACTAAGTTAATATATTTTTAGTACTTATTGTATATTTTTAATTTTTGTAATTATTGTAGTTTTCATTGTATATATTTTCGATAATTGTGTATTTTTGCTATAATTTTTCAATAATTATTGGAGATTAAACTATTGTTATTTATTAGAGATAAGACTATTAATTTAGCTAAAATTATGAGTGCTCATGAGTTGGTTCAGTGCGGTCGTAGGCTATTTGGTGAACCAAATCGACCTGGTCAGGTTAGGGAGTTGGTTAGCTGAAACCGACT